AAAGTTCATAACCACATTAGTATGATTCATGAGCTGTCAGTGGTGATGTCCTTGATTTCTTCAACACAGTTAGTGGCATTCATACGAGCCTGATTGATCCTGCAAATGGTCAATCAAAGAGCATCGGCAATGATACTCTTGCTAAATTGACAGGTGTTGTTAATTCACTGCAGCAAGAGAAGCAAAAAAGGTTACAAAAGGTGACATCTTGGGGATTTTATCAATCTTTTTCATGTATTGACATATTACATGTCTCCTTAAGTAGATACCCCTAGATGTATTTGTATACTCTTAAGCTTATGGATGTCTGGACAAGTTGGTGCTTGATATGGTTGTATGTACCTGCTGGTGCTTATTCTTGCTTAATAATCAATTTAATTCTTCTTTCCTTCACTTTAATGTTTCTGTATCATGATATGTTCCGGAGTTTTGAGATGGAAAACCGTCATGAAAATGTCTCAATCATACATGAGCAAATGGTTTCGAAGGATTACAAGTATGAAAAATTTATTTGCTTTCCGCTCTTTTCTAAATCTTAAGTCTTGTCCAATATTTGGATGCTATTTTTGCTTATTTTCTATTGCATAAACTAGTTCAGCACTAAATTTTATATGCAAATAAAAAATATCATGTAGGAGTGGCTTACTTAATAAGCTCTGAACAATGTTGTCTTGGTGCATGCTAAGATGCAGTGCCAAACAACAAAAGCACCTATGATATTTTCGATCTAGATGCATTTGATCTAGTACCTTTTCTTGTAAGGTGATAGGTGCTTGAAGTTTGATGAAGTTCTCTTTCATTTCTTTTATTATTTGTCTTTTTCATTAATTAAAGAAATTTTCTGTTTGAGGAACTGAGTTTCTTACTAACCTAGTAACTTTTTTTCGGTGCTTTTGTTGAGAGTGGATTTCTAAATGGGAAAGGCTTTATTATTTTATAGCATTTTAAAATTTTCAAAAGAGATTGAGTTGGGATGATTATTTTCCAGTATCATATTTGTTTTACATATGCCTGAATTGCTGCATTTATAATTGGTTCCTATTGAATCATTTCATAAGTTTTAACTGCAGTTTTAGAAGAGCAGGTATGTTTTATCTCTATCTTCTGCAAGTTCAGTAGTTATTGAGAAGGACCATCCTCTGATTCTAGCAGCTGTGCAACTTCAGCAGGGTACAAACTATACAATTATTAAAGCTGACTTGTTTTTATAGGTTGTTGACAAGGATCTAATTCAGAAGTTATTGAGAAGGATCATCCTCTTTTTTTTAGCTGCAAGCAACTTAAGTAGGGAATAGCTATACAGTACCATAAGTGTCTTTTTAAGCTGTTCCTCGTTTTTAGGATGATAGCATGTATAGCTTGTGAGAAAGCCAGCTTCTAAGAATTGGGACAGACCAGAATTTGAATATCTCTTAGTACAGTTGGTTGCTTTATACCTTAAAAGTTAAGTCATTCGGTGAGAGGTCTTGCTTTCAAGTTCTTACAACTCAAATTTTGGGTTTTCAATATTAGGTGATTAGCTGTCAAAATTAGCACTATAGTGCAGTGACTCTTGGTTTTTTGAATGTCTTTCTGTTGCTTGCTGAAAGACTCTTTAACCATTCCATGTCATAATATAGAGCCAAGGAAACATAAAACAGTCTTCATTTTAGCTGTTTTGTTCTACTAGGATTATTGCCTCTTTTGATAAGTTAAAGAAAAGTTGAGAACTGAGGTTCCTTCTGTAAGCTAACAGCTTAGAATGTAGTCCAAAAACTTCTAAAATTGGCATTATCTTTTTCAGTTTGCATGAGGATTGGTTTATTTCTATTTTTGCATTTATATGTTGAGCGTTAAGAATTTGTTTTATTTGTATGTGGGCTTTAAACATTTATTTTCTGTCATCAGTTTTACATGTAACTTCAATGTCTAGAGAACACTTTGATAGAACTATGGGATCTCCTTGATACGCCACCTGATGAGCGAAAGAGGTTTGGGCATGTTACTTCCTTGATTTCTACATCAGTTGATGAGGTCTTGAGACAAGGATTTGGTATAGATATCATTGAGCAGGTAGCACCAATTTTGGTCCCCTTATTTTAAGAACTGTCAATGTTCCAGGATTATTGTATTTTGCCCTTAATGTTTAACATTCATTAATACGTTCAGGTTGAGGTTGAGGTTGAGGTTCAAAGTTTGAATGTGCTAAAGGCTAGCAAAATGAAAGAGTTGGTATTAGGCAAGATGAACTTGAGGAAATCTTTAGAGGAGTCCATATTGATGTAAACAGTGATGCAGCGCGGCAGATTCTTATCAACCTCGTGGACTCTGGTTCTACCAAATTATCTCCCTTTTCTAACTATATCTTGAAACTATTTAATGTATTTTTGTTAGAAACATGCAATCTTCATTTCATATATTGATTTCATTTATAGTTACCCACAGTTTGTCTTAATAACTATCTGATGAGGTATAACTTTTGGGGGCATCTTTGGAAAAAATATTTCCTTTTGTAATTTTCTTTTTATTTTTCTAATAATGGATTCAATTGTTATGTGTAAATATTTTCTTAATATATTATGTGATTAGTCTTCCAACATGCCGGTGCAGATAATGTTGATCTGTCTAATCTGCTTTCCAGCATGGATGATCAGATTGCAAAAGCCAAACAGGAAGCTTTAAGCCGGAGGGATATTTTTGACGGGGTAGAGAAATGGAAACATGCAACTGAGGAGGAAAAATGGCTTGATGACTACGAAAGGTAAATCTTATTGGAGGAATATTGGAATCTTTTCTGCAGATTCAGTTTTCAAAAGAATTTCTATTTAGTGATCCTTATGTTGCCTACGCGAAAGATGCTCCACAAAATTTTTATCATGATATTAATTTGTTAATATTAATTTAGACCCTCTCGGGTGAGGTGCATTTTCATTGAGATAGAACTGAATCAGTTTTCCTCTTTGAAATAGCCTTAACCAGTGAAATGTTTGATAGTTTGCTATCTGTTTACTCTTCAAAGATGGTGGAAGCTATTGAAGTTCAATTTGGGCTTTGGAGTTAAAACTTTCATTTTTCTTATATTATTTTTTATTTTTCTTTTGTACAGGATGAAAACCGGTATAGTGCAGGACGAGGGGTGCACAAAAATCTGAAACTTACAGAGAAAGCTTCGTAATCTGGTCAGCAAATTGCCATGTAAGCTTGATTACTTTACATCATGAAGTAGGTTTCCTTGACATACATCATATAATAATTACTTGATCTTCATTTTGCTGGATATCTCTAGTCGAAAATTTGATTGCGAAAGTAAAAGCTTGGGAGCTCGAGAAAGGAATCCCTTTCCTATATGACAAGGTAATTGGTTTGCGATTCCTATTTTGTTTTAAACTTTAGGTTGGTTTATAATTGTTTGTCTCAAAACTGGTTTATCATTGCAGGCTTCACTCTTAACCATGTTGGAGGAATATATCGTGTTACTCCAAGCGAGAGAGGATGAGAAGCGTAGATCTCGGGTACACTTGCGATACATATTTGGTTACTACACTCATCCACGGTCCTGATGAAATAGCTTGTTATGTGATCAAATGTTGTTCACCTTGCTTTGGGGATATGGATGTCGCATGAAATGGCCTTTATTCGAATTCCCACAATGTGGTCATTGTATCATAAAGGTATCCATCAAACCTCATTCATTTGATTGATATTGCTCTATCTTTGCAGGAGCAAAAGCGGCTGCAAGAACAATTTTCTGCAGAACAAGAGGCACTCTTCGGTTCAAGACCGAAGAAGCCGTTGGGTCAGACCAATGCAATGGTTGGAACACCAACCGGTCGTCGGGTTTCTACTCTGGCAGGTAAGCATGGTGTTTCGAGTTTGAAGGAACGTAGAGAAACCGGTAGGGTTAACAACGTAATACCATTGAATTTCGTTGCCCTCCCCAAGGAAGATCCCATGTCCCGTGGCAATTAAGACTGCCTTAGGACACCATAGTAAATGCTACACAGAAGAAGCTGGAACTCTTTATCCCAGTCATTTTAGTATATCTTTACATGAGATTAGAGATGTTTTGTATTGAATGACATGAAATGTACTTTTATATAGATGTATGATAATATGTGTATCAGCAGGGACAAATGCATGATCTTATTCTAGGAGGTGAACTAATAAAATTTTAGGAGACGAAAACAAATTATCAATTAAAAATATAAAAAAATATATATTAATTTGAAAATTTCATAGGCGATTGCACTCACCTGTCCCTTTAGTACATTCTCTGTGTGTTGTGTAATATAATATATTTAAGAAATCGGAATTTTAGCTAAATTTTGAAGATGATATTGTTGGAACAATCCTAGAATATGAGAAAGATGAAGTTTGAAAATTTTTCAAGTTAATTTGATTTTTTGGGTAAACTATATCTATGACCATTTAATTATTAATCTTTTCATTTTGACTATTGATCTTTCAATGTTTTCAATCAGATCACTTGTGTTAACATTTTACAGAGAAGATAACACGACTTAAAAAAATTGGTAAAATTATAAAATGTTAACGGCTAAATCTATATATTATTAATCAACACAAAATAAAGAATAATTATATCTATGATCACATAATTTGTTCATTTTTATTTTGGTCATCAATCTTTTAAATTTATCAATAAGATTACTTAATTATTTAAATATTGTCAATCAAAGTAGTAATCGTAACATTTAATGAAAAAGTGACATGACTGTTAAAAATAGGTATAATTACACATTTGATTCTTAACATTTACACATCCTATCAATTTAATCTTATTTTACTTATTCTATTAATTTAGTCATAATTTTAAATAAATATAATCATAATAAAGTACTGATTATCAAAATAAAAATAGATAATAATTAAGTGATCATATATATATATATATAATTTATCTATTATTGTTTATATTTTTTTATTTTTTCCCTCGAACTCCCAACTCACTGATGAGTTGTTCGAGTAAATACATGTGCAGCCGTACAAATCCCTTTCAACGTAGGTTTCTTCGTTTGTCCACCGATTTCAACATCGATCCACTTCAAAAAATTTAGAAAACAAATAGGGAACATCATCTCCATCTGAACTCTCCCTTCAGGTAAGCATCAATTTCCCTAAATCCTTTATTTATTTGTATTAATCCCTTGAATTCTCTTTTGTCAAAACCTTTTATTGGATCATTTCTAATTATTTAATTTAATCTCTGGCTGATGTTTTTTTTATTCTTTCAATTTTTCTTTTGCTTGATCTCTATTCAGTTTTGTCTTCTTTTGGGTTTCGTTTTTCTAGTTTGTTAAGCGTTGCTACAAGGCGAAAGAAAATTATACAAACTAAAATAATAATTAAGTAATAATGAATAAATCAATACATAAATCAAACCCAAAGCCAAATTTGAAGTAATTATTTTGTGTGTGTGTGTGTGTATAAGTGCAATATTTTTATTAGTGTTGATGGATTTGTGCGACTAAATTGCGTTTTGATCTCTTTTGCATGTTAAATTCTGTAATACTTGTTTATGCTATTCTTGTTAGGAACGGGATCATTTTCTCATCAGTGTTTTTTCTTTAATTCCTTGGTATTGTCATGTTTGGGTCTTATTTAGCTTCTGTTTGTTGATTTTGCAGCTTTACCGTTGTTTTTGAAGCTACTTTATACTGTTTATGATCATGCAGTTGAACCGTTTGTTCCTTGAACCATAGCCAGAATATGTAACTGTAAATATGCACGTTTTGATTTGTAATGTTTGATTATGTTTTGTCTCCTGACCAGCCATCCCCTTGTTTTCAGATCCTGTTTAATCTATAAATTTGAGCATAGTTTTGGACCTTTTGTTGTGTTGTTACTGGTGTTGCAATTAGAGTCGTAGACAATAAAGAGGAGAGATTTCATGTCTAAATTGTGGTTTGTAATTTGTTTGGCTAAATTGGTTTTTAGTTTCTATAAAAGAACATGCTGAATCATGTCCTGTAGTAGGTTAAGCAGTGGTTTTTTGGGGTGTTTATCTCTTCTGACTATTAATTCAATGGTGTTGATTTGTCATCAGGCAGCCATTCCCGTTCTGGAATTTTTTTTAATCAATAACTTTGAGCATAGTTTTTGTGGAATTCAGTTTGGTGTGATTTCATGGGTTCTGCAACTAATGTCGTTGACAATAAAGAGGCAAGGTTGCCTCGAGAAGTAAAGAATGCTCTACAGTTAATGGCATCAGAGTGGGATGATGTAGTGGACTCAAAGGCTTTGCAGGTGATCCCTGTTAAAGGTGCAATGACCAATGAGGTCTTCCAGATAAAATGGCCCACCAGGACAGATGATGTGTCACGGAAGGTTTTAGCTAGGATTTATGGTGAAGGTGTGGAGGTTTTCTTTGACCGAGATGATGAGATTCGGACGTTTGAGTTTATGTCGAAGCATGGACAAGGACCTCGTTTACTCGAACGGTTCCGCAATGGGAGAATTGAAGAGTTCATCCATGCACGGGTACTTTGATATTGCCTCCCCTCCCAGCCTTTTTCACATATTATTGTATCTTTAGATATTAATATGAAGCTATTTTAAATTAGGGTAAAGTACAAAAATGGTCCACTGACTATATGGCGCTGTTTTGTTGAGTCTCTTGACTATTGAAAGTTGTAAAATGGGGGCGTTGCTTCGTTGAGTCTTTTGACTATTAAAAATTACAAAATGGTCACTTGACTATTCATATATTCCAAACTCGTCATTTTCCGCTAAAATTTGATTGTCATCTGAGCTGGACGTTAATCTGTTGATTGTGATATGATAAAATTTGATCATATCCCAGCCAACGAGTTAAAGTTCAGCTCAGATGATAGTCAACTTTTCAACGGAAAATGACGAGTTTGGAACATATCAATAGTCGAGTTATCATTTTGTAACTTTTAATAATCAAGTGATCATTTTGTAACTTTTAATAGTCGACGGACTCAAAAAAGCAATACCTTATAGTCATAGACCATTTTGTAACTTTTAATAGTCAGGGATTTAACAAAGCAGCCTCCTGTAGTCGGAGAACCATTTGTGTACTTTACCCTTTAAATTAAGGGATTTGCTCTTCAAGCAGCTAATTTAAATGATTTTGACATTAATCTGATTACCTAATGGTTTATTACCTGTCTATCCAATTTGGGAATTACATCCAAAATAAATGCTACTACCGTGATTAAAAGAAGATGATTTTTTGAATAACTTCCAGCCATTTATATCTCGCTACTGCATTAAATTATCTTGTTTGATATGATTTCTTATTTATTAACAACATCAAGATTTACTCATTTGATACATCTTTCCCATTAAATTAAAATAAGATACTTTCTTTACTCTATTTTTCTGAAATGTCAAATGTGTATTGATATTCTTTCTTCCTCATTTACTTTCAGACACTATCAGCATCTGATTTGCGTGATCCAGCTATATCAGCTCTAATAGCAACTAAATTGAGGGAGTTCCATGAACTTGATTTTCCTGTTACCAAGAAAGTTTGGCTATGGGATAGATTGCGGTACATTTGAATATTTCTCGGTGAATTGTGCTAAATATTATGGATCTCATATCTATTAGCTTCATTTATTAATTTAAAGTTTTTGTCATTGGTTATGTTTCAGAAATTGGCTTAGGGAAGCTAAGAGAGTTTGCCCTCTAGAAGAAGCCAAAGCCTTTCACTTGGAAGTTTATGAGGAGGAAATCTCTATGTTAGAAAAGAAACTATCAGGGAGCCATCAACGCATTGGCTATTGCCACAATGATTTACAATATGGGAACATAATGTTTAATGAAGAGACTAAATCAGTAACCATCATTGTGAGTTTCTATCGACTGGCTGGCTTTTTATATAATTTTCCAATAGTGTTTGTAATATGAAAACTCTTTATATTTTCATCGAACCACATGGTGGCAAAACACCTTTGGAGAGGTAGGCGCAGCGCAAAACGGGAAGCCCTCCCACTCGCGCTTCTTCCGCCTTAGGGGTAAGAGATAAAAACACCTAAGATCATTAGAACTATAAGGTTGAGTAGTGGGTTGGTATATTAGTTGCATTCTTTTGATGGGAGGGTAACCATCAAACCTTTGACCAAGGTGAATTTTGCTATCAACATCAAACAATTACCAAAGACTACTGGTAGTGCTAGCAGTAATAAAATCATAGGTTGTTTATATGGTTCCATTAATGATGTTCTCTTGAATAGACTATTTCTAATTCTTGAACTTTGTCCTTGCATGTATATGATTGCGCCGACTTAAGTTGAGTAGATTGATGATTTTATCTTGGTCCTTATTTATTATATTAGCAAAACCACTCTATTTGCATGAATTTATCTTGTAATGCACAATACCTTTTCTCACCAAGAGGGGTTCAACATAGGCAAGCTTGCCCTGCTAGTACATAAGAATCCATTATTTTTCATGTCATTATTACTCCACCTGTGACATCCATCATCTCCGTCTCCCACACCCATACCTATTAAAGCCTCATAACTCTAATGTCCGAAAAAGGAACTAAATGACTATGGCCACACTAGGAGATAGGGCATCATTTTTAGGGTACACAACGAGCTTCTCATCCCCTATATATGGCCTTCTCAATCGTTAGGAAGGCAAGACTCCAGAAAATAGTGAAACCTTGCCCAATCTACCTCACAATTTTTTTTTTGATAAAATAAGGCCTCATTAAAACCCCCTTTCTTATCCTACATGTTACAAACATAACATGAAGGACATTGGAAAGAGGAAAAGAGTGCCTCTAACTTTTATTAATTAGAACAATAATACACCTCCACACCTCAACAGCTAACAACTTCTTACAAAACAGAAAACCATATATCTGAAAACAAAACACACCCTGAAACTCCTAAATAGGAACTACCAAGGCATAACACCTTAACCATTACACAAAACGTAAGTTCAGCCTATACCAGCTTTAGCTAATTCATCCGCTTCCCAATTTGCTGCTCTCGAGATGAGCCTTGTGATGATACCCTTCCTCTCCACAGTAGAAGCTATATCCCTTACCAAGGAATGAAACAAAGTAGTACTAAGGTTCGGATTATTAATCCATTTCAGAGCATTAGAAGAATCCGATTCCAAAATGATCCTCTGATTTGAAAAGAGATCAGCTTCAACTTCCTCAATAAGAATCAACCCTCTCTTGATCGCCAAAAGCTCTACGAGTAAGGGAGGACCTCCCCCTACCTTCTCTGAAAAAGACCCAAGCACCATCCCTCTGCCATCTCTAGTCAAGCCACCTATTCCACCCTTATCCCAACCTTTGACCATTGCACAATCAACATTAACTTTTAAGAACCCTATCGGAGGAGGACTCCACCTAGAAGAAGGAAGATACCTCTTATTCAGATTGACATGTTGATCAGCTAGTTTTAAATCCCCCATCAAGGAATCAAAATGAAAATGAACATCCTTAACTGATGTTTCAAACCAAGAAACAGTTCTGAAACGTGAAATGAAGAACAACGCTGAATCAACCTTCCCATTCTGGAAAATCACCTCATTCCTACATTTCCAAACAGACCACAACACTGCTATTGAAATAAACTTCCATATATTGGATCGCGGCACTAAGTCATCCCAGGCAATTAGGAAGTCCATCACCGAACCAGGAACCACAAAGAAAACATTCCAAAACTTTAAAAACTTAGCCCACAAAACCCATATCACTTCACAGTGAAGAAACAAATGAGAGACTGACTCCTTGTACTTCCTGCACAAAGGGCAGACAGAGTCTTCAACCCCAGAAACTCCTCTCTTCAGCAATTTCTCTTTCACCGCAATTCTATGATGAGCAAGTTGCCAAACAAAGGATTCCACACGTGGTGGAGCTACTCCTTTCCAAACATACCGTTCCCAATTACTTTCTAATTGATCAATACCCTCTCTATCAAAATAGGTTTTCATGCATGATTTTGCTGTAAAACAACCCTCTCTATTTCCCAACCAAATCCAACAATCTTCCTCTACTAGAGACAAAGAAGAGCTATTCAACAGAGAGATAATTTGCAGCCACTGCTCAACCTCCCAATCCACCAAATTCCTTCTCATTTGAATATCCCAAACCCAACCCGAATCATTGTGCAATCTGAATTCTGCTACCTTACCCTCTTTGTTATTCGAAATAGCAAATAACCTTGGAAACCTATCTTTTAGAGGAGCCGAACCCAACCAAACATCATGCCAAAACTGAACAGTTTCTCCATTTCCAGCCCTAACACACAAATTTCTCCTAAAACAGTCCCCAAATGCATCACTTGAAAAGAAGTTCATAACAATTCCTCTCCAAATCCAAGAACTACGAGCTGTCCAAGTATTCCGAATCATCAAAGAATTAGGATCCATATTGTAAACACAAAACACAACTGATTTCCACCAAGAATTTTTCTCTGCAGCAAATTTCCACACCCATTTCCCCATAAGAGCCCTGTTTAATAGCAGCAGATTCGGAATCCCTAAACCCCCCAACTTCTTTGGCTTACACACCAAATCCCACTTAATCCAATGAATGTTCTTTTTATCTGATGATCCCCCCATAGAAACGATGCCATGATAGAGTTTAGTTTGTTGAGAACACTAATAGGGATCCGAAAAATAGAAATATAGTGGATTGGAATAGAGCACAACACCGATTTGACCAAGACAGCCCTTCCAGCCAGAGATAAAGACTTGGCCTTCCAACCAGCCAAATTATTATAAAATTTTTGTATAACCGGTTCCCACAGGGAAAAAGAATTCCTCTTGGCCCCCAATGGAATACCTAAGTACTCCGAAGGAAAAACTCCCCTTATGCACCCTATTTCCTTTGCCCATGAAACTAGTTCCTCCTCCCCCACATTAATTCCAAAAATTCTGCTCTTATACAGATTCAACTTTAAACCCACCATCAGTTCATAAATTAAAAGTACCCTTCTAATATTCACCAAATCATGAATAGAAGCCTTACTAAAAATTATTAAATCCCACAATCTTTGACAACCTTATCTTGTCCCGAGGAGCCACGTTCCTCACTGAACACCTTTTTCCTTCCAACAGCTGGAACACCTGACACTTTATGCATACTTTTCGCCTCACCTAGTACTGTCCTCTCATCCCAATGGTCAGCCCCTGTAATATTATTGGCTTCCACGTTAAAATTCAAATTATCATCGGTCATTGTGTCATCCCCATGAGAAGCACCTTTAGCCCGTGCTTCTTGTCTATTCTGAGCATCTGACACCTTCTGGAAATTCAATTGCCCTTGCTGACCTTCTCTATCATCCCCTTTGCTCCCTTCCGATGAAGTCTTCTCTCCCTGGTCAACTCGTTCTTCCACAGGGCCTGAGCAGTATGGGTGTGTTTCACTAGCCCAGCGATGTCCTGCGAACAATGAAAGCCATTTACAGGACCAAACACATTCTGAAACATATGAGGAGAACAGTACTATCATGGTAGAGGAAGAGAATGAAGGCATTCAGGAAGTTGAGGTTTTTGATATGGGTGACAAAGGAAGTAAGTCCAATAAGGTCAATAGAAATGCAAAGGTGAAGAGTTGTAGGAGATGGAGATTAGGATATCAGGTATCTAAAGGCCTGTCAATAAGTAAGACTTCCGAAGGATTGAGAGGTGGCGGACGTTTTGCGAGGGTCTACAGATGGTCAAAAACAAGACGAGCTTGGTTATGTTCAACAAATATTCATAAGCACAGTCAGAACAGGCTGGTACTTCATAATTCTAAGCAATTTTCATCAGCTTCAGGGGTTAGGGGTCAGGATAAGGATACTATTGTTTCTGCCCATGGTCATAATAAGCCTATGGGCCCTATTAGTAGCAACATTTCTCCTGTAAGTGGGATGGCAGATCAGGTTATTGCTTCTAGGAATCGGAGAAAATACAGAAAGAAGAGAAGAGGTTTAATCTCAGAAGCTCTGGCTAATGCAGATGTATCTACAGTCTACTCTTGTTCCTTCTCTAAAGTTCTTGAGGAAGCATTGAATACTTGGGAAGTATGTCAGAGTTTAGGCATTTCTTTCAAGGAAGGGAGGGAGGCTTTTATTGATAAAATTAGGAAGATGGAGGAAGGGGCAGGGGTGGCAAATGAAGCTGTTAAGTGAGTCAGTTACTTGCTTCCTCGAAGGTTTGGGCTTGAAGTGTATATGTTGGAATGTAATATTATTTCGTGGAATGTTAGGGGCTTAGGAAGAAAGGAAAAAATTAGAGGGGTGTCGAGACTTGTAAATAAGAACAAACCGGTCATATTGCTTTTACAGGAAACAAAACTGAGTAAAAACAAGAAGTGGCTTAGAAGGAAATTAGGAGGAAAGCTGCTGATGGGAGAAAGTTTCCAGCCAGCGGATGGGTCAGCCGGTGGATTGTTGTGTTTGTGGAATGAAAATGCTTATGAGGTAAGCAAGGTGTATAATCAAGGTAGATTTCAGGTGTTAACAGGGAAGTTCAAGGTGTCTAAAGTAGAATGTGTTATTATTAATGTGTACGGTCCTTCTGTAGAGGAAGAAAAGGAGGAGTTTTTCAGGCAACTGTTGAGTTATGTTCACTCTGTTAATCTGCCAATTTGCATCGGGGGAGATTTTAATGCTTATCTCGACCAAGAGGAGAAGATTGGTGCCTCACAAAATTGGTATTCAATGGGTCTGCTAAGGAATTTCTTGCAACAATCAAATTTAATAGATCTTCCTTTGGCAGGTGGCACTTTCACTTGGGGTAATAATAGAGAAAGCACTACTTGGGTAAGGCTTGATCGGTTCTTATTGAGTAGCAGCTTCTTAAGTTGCTTCCCCAAGTCTGTTCAGAAATTACTT